TTAATATGTGAATACATATTTGCAGTATCCTGCTGAGCTGCTTCCACACTAACTAAATTTTGCTCTTTTGAAAATGTCATTTCAATCACGTTTCAGAAATAAAATGTGTGAATAACCATTGGATTAGAAATAGAAACTGATTTAACATAACAAAGTCGCAAACAAATATTACTGGAGACAATTGCTAATCTCTTTTGTCTTATTTCGGTATGTACTTCAAATAAACAGATTTTTCATTGACCACCTGCATATATACACTTACGAAAATAACTTTGTTAAGATAGAGATTACTTTGACTTCCATCCATTCCTTCTTTCATAACATCACTAACATATATCGCAAATTCTCGGAATTACTGAATAATGAATAAGTAAAGAAACATGTAACATTGATCAACTGCACGCAATAATCTTCTACATTAAATAAAGCAAGTTTAGTTATCTTCTCTTACATCTTACTTCTATAAATTATGTATATGGATAAATAAATTCACATATATATACACATGCATGCGAACCAATATTGATCACAAACGTATTCACTATTACCATACATCATATACATGCACAATTGGGTTCATACACATTCATCAGCATTAAACTAACAAGATATATTGCCAAAATGAAGGCGAAGTCTCACTCTCTCTACTCAAATAAAACAATTATTAAGAACAAATACATAACAATTGTCAATTATGCATGTGAACAAATAGTTGATGTTGAACAAATCTGCTATAAATTTTGTTCAATATATCATCTACAATAATATATTATCCAAACAATCTATACACATGAACCATTAATAATCATTCCCCTCATATACCACCTCACTCCTTCCGCTATCATATTTAAACAACTTTCGACAAATAAATAAATATGATGTAAAATATGTTTCTGTGTGGCAAAAAATCTCTTAGATATGTGTGGAGTAAATACATTTCGCAAACGCATCAAGTGGTTAACAAACATATAAGCCAGTAATCCTAATAACAATTGACATTTGCATAAATATACAGATTTTTAGACGAAGACTAGTGAGAGTATAAAGAATGACGTCATTCTATTTGTTTATGTGCTGAACACGTCTGCATCAGATCGACCATTGGCTACGATAGTCACGCAGATCCCAACCAGGTAGTTTGCATCTACCAACATGTTTCAGATTAGAAGTTAGTGACTTCAAGCACTGATGCCATGTTTTGGATTGGCTGCCCCTAACTCCCTTCCAACAATCCCCTACAATAGTCAGCGTTGCGCGTCATGGTAAACGGTGTTCAGGCATACGTAACACGTGGCCCAACCATCTCAGTCGATGAAGATTCATCACCTCATCAACTGATTTACCATCATTTCCTAATATCCTGCGTCTAACCTCACTATTACTTACCCGGTGATCCCAACAGATGCGAGCAATATTTCTAAGGCATCTGTGGTCAAATACTAGTAACCTACGAGTATCTTCTACTCCTAACAACCATTTTTCACAGCCGTAAAGTAGAACAGAGCGAACTGATGCGCAGTATACTCGTCCCTTAATTGATAGACGGATATCTCGTCTTCGCCATAGGTGACGTAAGTTGGCAAAAGCCAAACGAGCTTTTAGAATCCGTGCTGAGATTTCGTCAGACACCAACCCATTAGGGCTGATCAGACTTCCAAGATAAGTGAAGTTGTCGACGCGTTCGACTACTTCACTCCCTATCCTTAGTTTGGGTGTTGATGCAGGCCAGTCCTGGAGTAACAATGTACATTTAGATGAGGAGAAACGCATCCCAAACATCCTGGCATTATTACTGAGTTCTAACAGAAGACTCTGCATTTTGCCAGCGTCTTCACCAAACAGGACTATGTCATCCGCGTATTCCAAGTCGATTAGTGGTGTCCCTGGTAGGAGATCAATTTCTGAAAATTCAGTCGACGAGTGTTATTTCCAGCAATATGTCTATAATGAAGTTAAACAAAAATGGGAATAGTGGACATCTTTGTCGGACACCACTTGAGGTTGTAAAATCATATGACAGTTCGTCATAAGCTCTTACTCGACTGGTAGTGTTCGAGTAAAGAGCCTTCACAATGTTTATGTACTTCTCAGGTACACCTTTCAATGACAAACACTGCCACAGAACCTCTCGGTCTACAGAGTCAAATGCTGCTTTTAGGTCAAGAAAAACTATCATTGTCGGACGCCGATAAACATGTCTGTGCTCTAAAACCTGGCGAATAGTGAATATGTGGTCGATGCAACCACGACCAGGTCTGAAGCCAGCCTGATTTTCTCGTGTTTGCAGTTCACGAGTCATAGTTAGGCGTTCGATAATTATTGACGCTAGTATTTTAAATGCTATGTTAGTCAAACTAATCTCTCTATGGTTATCGCAGGATGATTTTGGCCCCTTCTTATATATTGGGACAAGTGATTGTGACCAGTCGGATGGGATTACGTCCAACTCCCAGATTTTAGTCAACTTAATCGCTAAAACTGGACCACCATATTTAAAGACCTCTGGAGTCAATCCATCAGGTCCAGCTGATCTTCCTTGTTTCAGATTAGTTATAGCCTTTTGAATTCAACTAGAGTTGGGGGACCTAATACAATGTTCCATTCAGGCTGTCTGGGAATAGTGAGTAGTTGTGCAGTAGCTGAAGGCCAGGTAAACTGCTCCTTAAAGTGTTCCGCCCATCGTTTTAAACGTCTGGGTTGAGAGCAGATAAGGGTTCCATCTTTTTCCGAGATCGTTTCACTTACACTTGACTTCTTAATTCCGGTTTCTTTTATTAGCCTGAAGAGTTATCTGGTGTTGCCTACAGCCGCTGCCTTTTCCAACCACATAACAACTAATGATATGCTGTCAACAATGAGGAATAAATGAAATTCTGTGGATTTCATCCAGAGACTTAACATCGAATACAGTTCCTGATTAGTCGAATAACAGATCATGGTGAAATGCTTTCCGATTGTATTGTATTATTACAATCTGATCAAAATTGAGTATTAATCACAAAAGTAGAGGATGAATACCTATTTGGCACTTTTTTGCTCTCAGTTAAGCAACATTCACTGTAGCAACAGTGATATTAAAATAAATAATAGACATTTTTTAATGCAATTAAATCTACATTCAGGAAAATTTAAACGTGACACAATTATTCTTTGAATTTTCAACCAATGAATTTTGAATTCAGTAAAAAAAAAACATTGTCTAATATTTCTTTGAACTTAAACATAATTCATGTTATCATAATGCTCATACTGATAAAATTAATCTTGCTTGAGTGAATAACAGAAAACTCAAATATTAAGGATCAAGTTAATTGAAAACATAAGTCCATACATATCGTTTATATATATTTGTGACATTCCATTTAGCCTCTAAATGCCCTGGTACGACCGAGAGTGAGGAGAGTCCGCTCTCCTTCTCCAAATGCTCTCATATGACCATGCGTATATAACCTCTGACAGGGAATTCCTAATCACTGCCTTCTCGTGGCATCACTGTTGTTTACAAAATTGGAAGGACGAAAAGCGAATAACTGGCGCTTTAACCGGGTTGGTGGATACGGATGACCCACTTAGAGGAGTTGGAAAACCCTGATTCCAAACCAATGGTACAAATGGGCTCCAATATCCTGAGGGAACAAATTGCTTATGAATCAATCGTTGGTCACCAGTTACCATGGGACTGCATCTCCTTACGATACTCCACTGCCTTGTGAGTTAGACCTTTAGGTCAAAGGCTCGGGGTGTGGCCCACTAAGAAAACCATCTGCTTCAGTTTGCGCATTTGGGCAGTATCACAGCCCTCACACAAATCAAATGAGATTTGTGCAGCACATATATATCTGGTGCCCCTTTGTACCAATATTTATGTGTTAGAATAAATAAATTTGTGAACTAGTTACCTTAATTCATATATATTAACATTAGTATTAATAAAATGGTGACTTTTTGATAAAAATGCTTACTTGTTTCACTATTTATGGTAACAGAATGAATCTATACAAACAAATAATCATAAAATATGGTATTCCCTCTTATCTAAATAATTATTAAAACGAAACGATTTATATTAAGTTCCATAGTTAATGTTTTGAAGTTGTTGATTATAAACTGAATTTTTTAATTGTATATTTCTGGTTCTGATATTAATGGAAATGGTGTTCGTTTCATACCATTTATTTGTAAAGTTGAAGTGTTTAATACAATTAGGAAGGATTTATAGCTTTGCCTTGAAAAAACGCATCTTCCAGTTTCTCTTGGTTCTTGAGACTCAATTTATGACATGTATATGATCATCAACTTTGACAAAAACTGTCGATTCTATTTGTTCTCATGCAAAGCAATTTACTTTCACCAATACAGTAAAATATTACGTGTTATCAATCATAACACTGAATTATTTTAGGAGTATGCAAAATGTAACACTTAAGATATTGTCCCTCTAACAGGCCAATGAAATCAATAAAGTTCTCGATGCTCTCATTTAATTATTAGTTAATTATCAGTATGGGGAATTGTCGAGATTGTAGTATTTTCACAATTAAAATTACGAGTTGATCTAAGGTAGACAACTATTGAAAACATGGAAGCACTAAACGGCAATGGATGAAGAGTTGCACAAGATCATGAATTGATGGAAGTTAGACATTAACACTGTTGGATGCGCGTGAGACCGAAGGTCCGTGGTTCGAGTCCCACGAATGAATCGTGAAGTTTCGATTTTAAAGATTTTTCATTAAATTGAACAGAAACAAGGTAAATGTGGAAAACAAAGCGCCCGTCATAAAACACTTCCATAAAAAACTAGTGTGAATAACAAACATAACAACATCGGACAATCTTATAGGACTTCTTGAAATATATGTTTCTTGTGACTTAAGAAATTTTGTGAGACTTCATGTTAAAACACAATCTGTTAGTTTGCAACTTCCATACATTATTTACTCCTAAGCTACATATTTATAATAATCCCATGTAATAGTCAGTAATTTGGTACACATCATGAAATACACCAAACAGCTGAATCATTGGTTTATTTTTTTCCACCAAGAAAAATCACACTAATATAACCACAATTAAAAAACACAAATAGTAGGACAAAGCAAGATAAGTAGAAATATGGAGCAAAGACAAATAACAAAACAAAAAATTAGAAACTATTATTCCAAAATAAAAATACTGATAATAAAACACACAGTAAATAAAGCTGAAAAAGGACAGAATATATAAGTACACACTCTGAGAACAGGGGTTGGAAAACAAAGATTCGTCAGTCATAAACGTCAACAACAACTAAATCACTAAAGCAAATCGTAGTAGCAAGAAAAACACGTTATGTATAATTAAAGGAAATAACTAAAATATAACTCAACAAAAAGGAAGAACCAAAACGACAAAATGGAATGATTTGAAATGTTTAACAAAATGATGATGACGATGACGACAATGCTGTGCAAGATGTATTCAATTAACCTTAAGAAAAGTTTGTTTTACACTTTTTCATTTCATTTGTAATCTGATGTATATTTACCAATTGATTACGTATAGGCATATTTTTGTAGGGACTTTGTGTCATCACTTTTTGAAAACGATGGTAGTGTTGAATAAGTTGAGCAAGTAAACCCTATAAAAAGAGTAAATTTATTGCAGTACTAAGATGGCTGTCATGATATTAAATACGTACAAGCAAATAAATTTACATAGGAAGAAGTATGTATTTAAATGATGAAAAATATAACAATTAACACTATGGATAATGAAATCATATTGAAAGTTGACATGGAGACGAAGTACAAACACGATTTGATTGGTTCAGTGGTTTACCTACAACACCTTCATCACAGGAGTAGGTATCTATCATGATATCATTTGTTCATGTATATCGCTGACGGTTGTTAAACGCAGCAAGATAACCTAACATAACTGACAGACAAGTATTATTACATCGTTGGTACTCTATCTCTTCATAAATAATCAATCCTGTCGAACAAGTTTTCATTGTAGTTACTTAATCATGTGGATGAACATGGTGGATTGTTGTATTCAGTTTTCAGTGACCTCAACTGCATGTACCGTGGATTTTTTAAATACTTATCAATATGAAAAAATGGTATGATCAATAAAACTTATCAAATAGTAGGTGTTTATCTTACAGAAGCGACACGTAGCACAAATGTGACCAACGAATAGATTCCAATTAAACAAATGATCCAGGTGAGAAACAATCGCTTATATACCAAAGTACATAAATTATGCTTAATAGATAGGCTACAGAAGCTTATAACTGTTAGTTATGTCCATAACTAACCAATCAAATAGTTGTTTAAGCGCCAACCACGTCAATCCGGTCTGATGCGTCTGTAGACTATCCCTGTTGCACGTAACCTGCCAATTGAAGGACATTATTATCCTGTTATACTAGTGAGACTCATAAATTTTATTTATTCAGATAAGACATGCAACACTGGTCGGTATGTTTGTGCGTTCCACTTAATGACTATAATTCATTTGATTATTGTACTAATCGAATTACTATTTTTGCATTTAGAAACAGATAAAGTTCAAAGCTAAGTTGTCCTTGTTCTGACCATAGCTTTCAAATAGACTCTGAGGTCGCCAGTATCGCGTTTACAGTTCTAGTAGAGTATCTGTAGGACAAATTAAATCCTACAATAGCTATATATTGTCATAACTAAATGATTACACTATAGAATTTACAGTTCATTAAACGATTAGGTTGAATGGATGCGGATTTCCGACGAACCCAACAATCACTGTGAGTGCCAATTGTTTATTTCACGAAAACCCTGTGAAGCAAGTATAGACAATTTGCTGCAACAAACGAATGCTTGAACAAATTTAGAATTTTCATCGATTCCTGGGATTGTAGCACTACCCTGAACACAGAAAGTATATACTAAAAATCTATTACTAATTGAGAATGTGATTATTATCCTAATGTGAATAACTATTTTATGTCCAGTATAGATCAACAGTGGTAATTGCAAGAATAAAACTGGATTTCATGAGGTAGTGAAATTTCTAATTGTAAATGGCTAAGGAAATAACTGAACTGATACGTTATTTTATTTGCATAATATATAAAAAGTAAGCTGTGAAAATACAACTGACCCAAGTGTATGAATAGTCAACAATGAAAGTACACATTACGGTACAAGGATATGATGGAAAATCAAACATGTTCAAAGATTTGTGGAGTTTTGGGAGAAATCCACAAAATAAGGATATGAAATAATACAGCTACATATGTAAATAGGTTACAGATACTCAAACATGAAAAAATTAGAAGGGAAAATCATAAACTACATCAAAAATGCAGGCTCACAAAACAAAGCAACACTAACCTGAAATATTTGTGTCCCTAAGGTAAAATTGGCAAACTCCATCATGATTTCATCATGTATCTTTTCAATCGAATTCTTCCAATCAATATTGAATCCCTTCACTATTCGTGTTACCCGAGCTGATGAGAAATAGAGGTGTGTAGATATAACATGAAATAACTACAGACTAAACATATAAAGTATCACTATTCACCATGAAACAAACATACCACACTATTTACCATATTCTTCGGCAATAAAAATAACTCAAGTATTGTTAAGTGTAATACATTACCTTTCTTGGTTGTGAGACATTTTTATGTAGTGATAATTAGGAAATATATGTATTTCAAGATATGCTTTGATAAGATCCTAACGTAACTAGTATTCAAACTACTGTAAACCAAAACCCTACTTCAAATATCAACAGTTCATCATGAGAGATACTTCTGAATGAATCTTCAACCAAATAACTGATCGATACCATTTGGTTGAGCTTCGCAGATAACCTATCCATTCTATCCCATACACACAAAAAAATGCAGATGAAGACAACCAGTGCAGCAGCAAACTCTGAATCAGTAGGCCTCAGCATACACAAAGGAAAAAGCAAGATCCTCGAATACAACACAGAGAACACCAACCCAATCACATTTAATGGAGAAGCTCTGGAAGAGATGGAATCTTTTACGTACTTGAGAAGGATCATCGACGAACAAGGAAGATCTTATGCAAACGTAAAGGCAACGATTGACAAATCAAGGGTCACATTCCCATAGTTGAATACCATATGGAACTCAAAACAACTGTCAATTAATATCTAAGTCAAAATCTTCAATACGAACGTCAAGACAGTTCCACTTTACAGAGCTGAAACTTAGAGAAATACCACAACCATCATCAAAAAGGTACAAATATTTATAAACAACTGTTCACGCACGATACTCAATGTCCATTGACCAAATACCATCAGCAACAGCCTACTGTGACAGAGAAGAAGTCAGTTTCTATCTGAAAAGGAAATTAGGAAAAGACCCTGGAAGTGGATAAGACATACATTACGGGAATCATCAAACTGCATCATGAGGCAAGCCGTAACTTGGAATCCTGAAGAGAAACGGAAAAGTGGAAGACCGAAGAACACACTGCATCAGGAATTGGAAGCAGACATGAAAAGGGAGGATAGTAAATGGAGAGGATTGCCCAGAATAGAGTTGATTGGAGAGTCCTGGTGCGCGGCTTATCCTCCTCCATGAGGGGTAACAGGCGTAAGTAAGTAACCATTTATCTGTAGTACATTAACACGAACGATAATATTTAAGGCCGAAGATAATATATGGCTTGTATAGAGGTAGTTTTGTGACTTCAAATCACGATAACTGTCTGCTTTAAAGCCAAATAACAACTAGATTAATCCACGATAGGTAGTAGACTAGGATTATTTAAAGCAGTTATGGTTCATGTAAAATCCGTTATTGAGAAATTGATAGTCACATTTTTGTTATGTTCCTTAACAAAGAAGGAAGAAGACATGCAAGTTGAATTACTTGATTTCTCTCAAGTTATAGAAGTGAAGCTAGTTTATTTCAATTAGAAAATGTCGAACAAGAAAAACCACTGCAGTTACTCTAGAATAACATTTTATTACTGGAACCTAAATGAAACTCCACACGTAATTATCTTGATACGTGTTTTTTGCAACTTAACCCAATAAAGTTAAACACATAAGCTTTCACTAAGTCTCGGGAGAAACATCCTGAATGAAGGTAAATGGCATTACAGTTTTCCTAAACTATAGTGCTTACGATTATTTTGAAGAATGCAAAATAGAAATTGACAATCGATGATCAATAACTTGACTATGAGGACAACAAACCAATCATCATCAATGTAAACTTGGTAACTAATACTGTTCTTCAACTAAAGAAAGTAGCAGGGATAGAAAACACAAGTTTCTTTTTTTTTAATGTGCCCTACCATTGCAGACACCGTACTATTAAGCTGCTAACGTATTCCTTAACACTCCACACTTTTTTACATGTAATCACTCTATTATCGAATGTGGAAAGAGTTCGTCCTCTATAACAAAACGTCCCCACGTGGTGGAATGTTTGTAGTGTTTTCCTTTGATGTTATATTCCTAAATTCCATATATTAGTGTTCATATGTACGTGTGAGAGAAATTGGATGGTAAAGAACGCACCAGAAAACTTACCAGTTAATTCTTAGATGAGCAATAAAATAAGATTTATTAAGATCTACAGACTGTTCCTTAATATTTGAATAATTTCACCAATTTACACTTCACGACTTCTTTTACATCCATGTTAATACTAATTACAGAACCATTCTCGCAGTTGACGACGAAATCAAAAAAAGAATAGTGAATAAAAAATGGATGTAATTTAGGAAACATATAATAGTTTACTTTATCATCCTTTTTAATCTTTGAGTAACAAATTAGAAACACGCAATAATATTTACAGCTAGAGTGATTCAGGATTTTAAACGGCCAACTTTAGTTTCTATCTGCAGTTGAGAAAAATAATATCTAATACAGTCTATGATGGTTAAATTTGTCTCTTAAAGAGATTTGATTGAGTTGAAAGAAATCTAGAGTCCAGAAAGATTCATTCAGGTACATGGATACCACGATAACCATAGATAACGTTATTTTAACAATAAATGACGGTATATTACCTTCCTCGCTACGAATATTTTGGGTCAATTCATCTTGATTTTTCGACTGATGACGACTTTCACTAGTTGATCTGGCTTCAACATCGCGAACAAAAGATATTAGACAACCAAAATAAGGTGACAAGGCTTCATCAATATATGATGTCATATGCTTCGTTACAGCTTCACGACATCGAACAACCTCGGAAGAATCAGCAGCTCCATGTTCCTATGCAATAAATAAATAAAATGTTCAAACAAGCAAATGAAACAAATGAACATAGATAAGAACCAATAATTTTGAGTTTTATGTACATCTATAAAACTTACAGTTAGTACACTTATAACCAAATCATAATTGTTTATTAGAAATATGTGGGCTAATTTTGGACGTGAAAATGTTTTGGCTAGAGAATTCAGTACATGTTCGAATTGAGTTTGCAATTGAGCCAAACGACTAAGGATACGAGGATCTAAAGCAGGCTTCAAATTTGCAAGATTATGTTGAAATGTTGGTTCAGTGTGTAATGAGTATTGTAAATTTGAACTCTCTGAACTTTTAGATTTACTCGTACTGTCATCAAAAAGTGGAGCTGTGGAGTAAAATGCAATTTAACAGAAAAATTTACAATTAATTTTTAAAACAGTAGATACGTACTTATGCACTTTTAAAAGTCATAACAGGAATAACCTATGGAGGAATAATGAAAATCAAGTGTGGTATCAGCATATATATATATATACTAAGCTATTAGGCTTACTTTTGTGACTAGGGAATTGCATAAACTGAAGTAGGTTGATTGATTGATTGATCACTGGGTGGTGATCAATCTCATGCGTGTCAGGTCCTTAGTGCTGATCGAGTGCTATCGATCAAGTTGCAATGTGGCCACCAGTCTAGGTGGCTCGACACTGCGGGCACTATATGTATTAGGGTAACATGGTGGTTAGATTAGATCTCAGTCCTACAGGAGGTCGGTCGCGGCCCGAATAGCTCAGTGGTAACGTCTCTGACTGTGAAGCTGAGTGACGCGGGATCGAATCCGCCAGGGAGCATCAGTTCCCTCAAGATTACAGGTACACCTTGCTGACGAGTGCCAAGTAGCACGAAACCCGGGTCCAGGGTTTCCTGTTGACCACCTCCAACCACCATGTTACCCTAATCTTTCATCCCTGTTCAATTAGCAAAGCGTTTTATCAGCTCAGCTGCTACAACTATTTTCTCGTCCACACATACAGGGTGTTTGTTTCTAATACATTTGTCTCTTGTTTGTCAAAGGATGGATAAAAAGAGAAATATGCCAAGAACTGTAATGTTTTGTTTGGGTTTTCCAGTACCTAGTATCACAACAGTTTGTAACCCTCTTATCGTACAATGTGAGAACGTACAGTTGCTATATATAATTATTCAATTCCAACAAATAAGCAGTTTATATGCAATATTTGCACGGTTAGAAAATAAATAGGCCAAGTGTTTAAGTAAGCCATCGTATATATTGATAACTAATGTTTCAGTTTCATTACAACGAGTAACAATCGAAAAAAGCTAAATCGACGATAAGGCGGTTTTGATTAGTTTACCTTATTTGTTCTAAATATACAGATAAATAAATTGCTGGATGTTAATCAACATTTCTTAAATCGTATTTAAAAACAAGCTTACACGTTAGTGTATTCGTATTCTATCGTAACGCTACATATCTTTAAACAGTGTCCAGTTAGAGAATTAAGTTTGTAACATACCACAAGTCAGAAACAGTTCGATTAAAGAATTATAAACAACACCTTTTACTTAAAGGTATCGATACTACTAAACTCCTTAATCTGTGATGTATGGTGTAAATATTGAACTTATGAGCTCAACACCATGAGTAGATTTCTATGGCAGTAAAATATTGTTCGACAACAATTTTTCCAAGGAGCCATTTAACTCATCTCCGTAGCTACATGATTATAAATAAATTTGAGACAGAGTGAAAGAGATGAGAAATAAACTGTATAGTGACGTAAGAAGGAATGAGTTTTATCAGTATGATTTTATTATTGTCACATCGATGTAAAGATTTTTAACTCCTGAAAACAGGTGGAACAAAACATTTTTTCTACAATTACAAAACGACAAGTTTTAAGAATAAAAGGAGGTAAATTTCTGAGCACTAACAACACTATCATTAAGAGCACACTTACTACCAGGGAATTGATGTCCGATTGAATGTAGGCTAGCAGCTAATTCAGCATAACGTCTAGCTATCAAGTGAGGACGAATAAGAGCATACATTTTAGGGTGTAAACCGACAGTAGTATTTCCGGTAGTATTTGTAGGTGCACTGACATTTAGGGTGGATAAATTGGATTTCATAATATCACGAGCATCTGTACTAAAACTGCTGACATCCAAATATTGCAACATGGATGCTATATGTACATCCAGTCTATCTGTAACACGTACCCACAAAGTTTCAGTCATTTTACCCCAAAAGCTATTAAATGAGCAAAATGACAAAAAAATCAATTATCTGAGAGGAATCAAATGTAAAATACAAATATCAATTATTCTATGTGAATCAGTTTTGACTGTTGATTTTGAATTGATAAGCAGAAAACATCTGAAAATTATCCAAAAATTTAAGCAGAATGTTTAGTTTAGTTTTTGGGATTATAACTTCATCACTGAACTCGATTGAACAAAAACCTAGACGCTTTTAGTTCAAAAAAGTGAAATTATCTCGAACAGTGAACGAAAGAGAAATATTTGGTCGCCGATCCATTTAAGTATATTTCGTCACATTCTAAATGTAATTTTCACATACTTGTCCTCAGAGGCTTTTGGGTAACTAATTTGATTAATAGTCCCTATTGCTTACCATCTCATTTCAAATGAAGGTTAATTCGGTAACATAATTATGAACACACAAACACTTCTATCCAAGCTGAATTTGTGGTATCAAAACATATACGCCACGTGAAATTACCAAACCCATAGCATTTACGAAGTGAGCGAGATATTTTGTTCCTTACCAAAAGAAACTTGGTAAGAACGTCTACGACTAATAACAAATATATTTTTCGTGATATCTCAATGAGTAGAAAATTGCATTTCTGATGTTTCGTGATTTAACGTAAGTCACTTCTTCAAAATAAGTAAATGTCAGTCAGTCAGCTACAACGTAGGACCAGGCCACATATATGCACCAGTCCAAGTTGCCATACCTCATTAACACAAGATCAACACCGAATTCATAGAAGTAGTTGATTTAATGGTGGTAACATATAAAAGAAGCATTGTATATAAGCATACAGTAAGTAAATAACCGAAATAAAATTAACACAACCTTAAATAGTACAACAAAATATATTCATTATTAAGTTGATAACCAATGTTCAATCCACTGGAAACTATCAAATCTGATCTTGGCATTGATACCCACTTCTATAACTGTTGCACATAGCTACCCAGAATGAATGCTATCAGGAGGCTAAACATAATCCATCGTGTTTCTGCAGCATTTTTGTCTTGTGAGGTAACTACCACCAACTGTGATTACATACTGAGAGTTTAAACAAAACGTTCAGTATCAAAGTTTGTAAACTTGGCAAAAGATTTTATCAACGGAATTTCACACTAAAAGTGCCTATCTTACTTTCTCTCCACTAATCATGATTTCAAATTTTTTAAAGCTGCTCTATTTATTTTATATATCCGTAATACCAGTATCTGACTACGCCCACTTGAAATTAACATGGAATATTTTTCTACACCAAGTCTTTCATAGTTTAACGGTAAAAATGAGCATTGATTTTTTCATTAGGTGTACAACTTCTGATTTTCTTAAATTCCCATAACACCTGAGGAAACCAACTAAACTACAAGACTATGTAGCTGAAGATGAAGTCCGAATTTTCTGGAAAAGCAAAACGAGCAGGAATAGATGGAATAATCAATAAGGTGAAGTGATTCATGAGCTAAAGGACTGCTGATTTGTACTGCGTAGTGGAGTTGTTAATTCCTTAGTTGTAATACTTCAGATTTAATAAATCATTGATTGAAAGATACATTTAGCATGTCCTAAAACTGATCGCAGTTTCGCAAATAGATAACACTATTCAAATATAAGAGAATACTATCACATTGACATTATGTGATATGAGAATCAAGGGGACGAAATTTTACAAAATGTATGGTGCAAAAATTAGTTTAGAACTGGGAAAGAAATAAATGCATAATCTTTAAAACTTACTTATCCAACACAGGTACCCCTCTCTCTTTAGCCAGACGAAGCAAAGCATGTAACAGTTGCAGACAAATTAATAAACCGATTGCATCATGAGAACATGAAGAAATCATGAAAGTTCCAGTAAATTTATGTATCCAACTTAAGCTACGACTCATAACTTGCTCGAACAAATGAGCTAAGGCTAGGCCACTTTGAGTTCGACCTTGATTGGGAGCACTTTGATCACAAGATGGTGGTGAATCAACAGATTCAGCTTCCGTGCTAAGAAGGAAGAAATCTGACAGAAAATAATATTCTCGACATGCAGTATCCAGAAGCGCATAGTGAATGGAACGAAATAAAACTTCTATAGGGTACTACATGGTAAAATAAAGGGTTTGGAAAGTAAAACAGAAGCAAATCTTATATAAACTGACCACCAAAATCTATACAACAGAAAAAAAAACTTCAAGACCATATAATGACAAGTGTCTATTGAGGATCGTTATTTAAAATCAAAGGATACTATCCTAAATTATTGTGGGAAATCCTTATGAAAACTACTTAGCGCTCAGAACAAGAATAGTTTAATAATCACGTCTGAATGACTTATCCCTAGTTTTGGCAAACCTTCTAGAAAAATCCACAGAAAATGTAGTATCCCGATAAGAACAATGAATGGTAACGTTTGGGATCTATTTATGGGCCAATACTATGCGTATATTTTTATCGTATAATTGTTAAATAACTAAACTATTTATATTCATGTCCCTCTTATTATGAGCTTTATTTTGACCTATAAACTATTATTATTTTATTATTATTACTAGCTTTATTCAATATCATATTTTTGGTACAATATAGAATTCTTAGCACAAAGTATTTCGACAAGTTTTCGTTTCTTATTTCTTCGTCGATCCTGGTGATAAATATTGGGTGATCGCCAATTCCAAGTTAGCAGTCCAGGCAATCGATATCTAAATAATGTACATTCTTTTCACTGCATATCGCCAGCAACCACGATATCTCTGATTAGGCCTTTTGTAACCTTTACAGCAAAAGGTTGCACACTTTTCAGAAACGCACCTGAATAGGTTGTGCGATTAATAGCCATAATGATGTATTAAAACAAACAAAATTAGATAAGTTGTTGAAATATCTAGATCCCGAAGTAGAAGTATACTCCTACTACTTCTACCACTATGGGATTTGAATCGACAACTGCATCTCTGTGCTAATGTGGTATGGCAACTCGAACTGATGTACGTACGTACGAAGTTCTACGTTGTGACTGACTGACTGAAATATCTAGATGGCAGGAACAGGTAGTCCAGATGTTTAAGTAGGCCGCCAAATAACGATTTACTATTCTTAAGTTTTGCCCTGACTATCAATTACTACACCCCTTATTCACATACATATTTGGCTAAATCTTGTACAAATGTTGTTTCCTATTTTATGGTATGGTGTGGTCTGTCTGGTTGGTATATAATCCCAGTATGTTTGAAATAAATGATTCATACTGCAGAGGTTAAGGTTGATGTTCTGGACTTAACTGCCTGGGCCAGGCAGAAAGCAGGACCGATAAGTACTGTAAACTACTCGCACTTGCGCCAATAGTCCGATCGATACATCACTGCTTTCTGATTGGCGGTATTACCACGTTATACACACATTAACAGGGTACTCAGGCAACAAGTTATAACAGAAATAAACTCAGAGTTAGAAATGAAGTTTTATTCCTAAGACCCAAACATCCTTTCACTTTAGGATTAGGCTACTGAGAATTAAACCCAGTCCTCTACGAAAAACTTTATACTATACACTATGTGGGAGCTCGAATGACCAGCTAACAAATGACATGATGATAATGAAAGAACAGCCAAGAGAAATAAATTATGAGAATTGGTCAAAATAGTTTTCCACACCCGCTTCCTCGATAGTCAGAATAGAACACAACACATTAAACAAGTAACTTCTAATTCAAAATTTCCAATTTACATACAATAATATAGAGTGAAGACCTGACTACACATCAACATAATTAAGAAATTACGATATAACTACGCAGTAAAAGAAAGAAGACTGAGTGATAAGTCAGTAGTAAATTAACAATAACTTGGGAAAGGTAAAACACACAACAATATTTTGTGTGTCAGACAAAACTTACCCGTACGGGAACATAAAAATACAATGCTTTAAGTATTTAATAATTCCACAACAAAATATAAACACTAACTTCAGATCAAACCGTTATGAAAGTCCAGCTGTGCTTAACATTCATCCTAATAAGGCAGAGACAAAGAAATGCAAACTCATAATCAATGTGACTGTGAATTTATTTAAACCCATATTCGAGTATTTTCTTTTGAAAAACTAAGGTGGAAGTGTATTGCCTACTTACGCTTGTGTACCCCTGGTGAAAGAGCATAAGTCTCTCACCAGTATTTGTAGTGGCGTAGCTTCGTTAATCAATCATCTTGATAACCGTTACTATATAAATTCCAACGGTGTTTGAAATCAGAAGACAATAAGAAGCGGTGACTGTAGTTTATTAGAGGATAGCACAGGCAACAAAATTATAAGCACATAGAGCGAATTCGGAGCGAATACAGTGGCGAATTTATAGTCGAATCGAATCAAGAAGCAGTGAGGCAAGTCAAAGCTTAATAATAGGATTCGAGTACATATATACATGGGAAACAGAATGACTTATCGAGTGATATTTAAGATATCAGCATTTTAGCTAGAGAGATATGTGCGTAGGCTGTCACATGTGCTCAAGCGTACATGTTTATACAGACATGATAGTGGTCAAAATAGTATAAAGAAATAGACGAATTGTTAGTGTCCGAATAACATTGTCTATTAAATAAATTCATAAAAGGGCCTAACAACATTTAACTATAGTCGAAATTGATTCCAGGAGGGTTGCTGTACGTTCTCCATCAAACTCTGTCTTTGTCAATCTTTTCCACTTGTTTTCAGTTACTATTCTCCCTTTTCATGTCTGCTTCCAATTCCTGATGCAGTGTGTTCTTTGGTCTTCCACTTTTCCGTTTCTCTTCAGGATTCCAAGTTACGGCTTGCCTCATGATGCAGTTTGATGATTCCCGTAATGTATGTCTTATCCACTTCCAGGGTCTTTTCCTAATTTCCTTTTCAGATAGAAACTGACTTCTTCTCTGTCACAGTAGGCTGTTGCTGATGGTATTTGGTCAATGGACATTGAGTATCGTGCGTGAACAGTTGTTCATAAATACTTGTATTTTTCTTGGTGATAGAAATGTACTGGTTAGCGTTTTTTTAGCGAGTTGATTTTCTACGGGATGGGGTCGCTAACCCCATGCCCAACCCTCCTCCTTTACCCGGGCTTGGGACCGGCAGTAGCCCCTGGAGGAGCTACAGGCGGAGTTTGTACTAACACAGTCAAAATCAAGAAAACACAAAATTATACTGATTCACTTACTTTAGCATCAACGTTGCTGGCCACATGTGGTAAAATAATAGCACTTTCTAGATTCGATTTACTAAGTACACGCAGTGCACGATCACTCAATCCAAAAAGTCCAACACGTGTTCCAGAATTAGAAGATACTGATACGGTTGAATTATTAGTAACATTAGTAATTGAATTGAACATCAGACTGGATGTAGATGATGCAGAATTGTATTTATCTGGATTTTTCCCTAATAAATCATCTTTTTCATAAGTTGTGTCAAGCTATATTAACGATAGAAAAGAGAACAGAATTGTAATATTTTTGTGAAAAATTATAAATCATGCAGAATTTAGTCAGATGGAATTTACAGAGATGGGTTTCGTAGTTTGAATACCGAGTTTGTAACTACGTGGTTGTACGTCAAATAATAATAATAATAATAATAATAATAATAATAATGATTGTTGTGACTTTATGTCCCGCTAATTACCACGTGACTTATTCGCTAATCGGAATACTACTTATACAATCCTAGCACTATGCCGAACCAATGACGTTCGACCGGTATGAGCAGCCCAGCGTCCTTATTGGACCATTTCCCTCCTAGCACTGACAACTGAATCTAGAACACTAATACCAACTTCCACCATACGAATCATTTATTTCAAACATACCTGGTTTATATACAAACCAAATGGACAACATCACACCGTAAAATAGGAAATAATATTTGTACAAGAGCATACGAAAACGTGGCTACGATCGTGGGAGACTGTAATCAATAGACTGAGTGTAATTTAAGAATAGTAAATCGCATAATAATAGTCTACAGGTCAAAACAAAGCTTATAAGAGGAATATAGATATATATAATTTAGTTACTGAATTGTTATGCAATAAGAATATATATATATATATATATATATATATATATATTATTAGTCCATTAGTCCATTAATATTTCTCAGAAGTTACCCCTAATTTAATCTTCATTAGGATATAATAATAAATGATGGCAGTCGAGTGTATTTTTTACTGATTTTTGAGTTACACGGAATAAGAGAATTATTTACAACTAAAATAATAACTTACTATTATGAAGACATATATTCACTGTATATTGGACGAAAGTTTTGCATGTAAAAGATGCTTTAGATAAAAAAGGTGGACATAAACATACTCATACTAATTGTACATAAATTTAGGTTTATTTAGGAAAGAAACCCACGTATCTGATTTTATCTTGAAAACAATTTATACCTCTTCCTCTTATAAATTATTTTTATAGCGATATATTCTTTTGTGTAGTCATAAACGCAGATACCACCCAATTAATCAACCTAGTACTTCAAATCAGTTACATATTTAACAATCTTCTCAATATTATTTGTTAAAGCCAGACACATTGATCATATACTACTTTTCCCTACATAAGAACATATATAACTCCTGCTTCGGTTTGGGCACCCGGGCAGTATCACAGCCCACACACAAATAAATGAAATTATGAACTCTATTGACGATAATATCCCTGCTCATACTAAAAGCAAGACAATTAACATTATTATTATTACCTTTATTATTATTATTATTATTTACCATATCGCTAACTCACCCCCTTTTATCCCCAATTTGTGTAACCTTACTTTTCAACTTATGCAGCAGCTCGCCCATTGTGGAAAATCTGTCCTATCTAAACGATCTCCAGTCACTGTCTGGTTGAAAGTGAATGCTTCCACCGATAATGAATACTGAAGCAGTCTTTCTGAAACCACGTACGCCGTTCAAGCTGGCTTCCTTCAACGTTCGCACACTAATGCATATCAGACAACAGATAGGGCTGGCTATGTCTTTGGAAGGTCTTAATGTTGATGTTTGTTGTCTATCCGAGACCCGTATTCAAGACTCTAGTGAAGTACTACAAATCCGCTCTCCATCTGTCCCGAAAAGCTTGTTCCACGTGCGCTTATCCGGGGACCCTGTGGCATCTTCGTCTGGTCTTGCTGGTGTTGGTGTCGCACTAAGCGCTAGAGCTGAGGCAGCACTAATTGATTGGATCCCCATTAACAGTCGGTTATGTGCTGTTAGATTAGAAAGTTCCATCAAAGTGAGAAGAAACCGGCGTGAGAAACGGTGTCTTTTCGTCATCTCCGCCTATGCCCCGACAGATTGCAGCCCGGATGCAATCAAGGATGAGTTTTACCATCAGTTAACAGTTCTTCTCCAGAAAGCGCGTTCGACAGATATTGTAGTACTAGCCGGAGACTTGAATGCACAGGTCGGGCGTCTAGGCACAGAAGAGAGTCGTCTAGGTGGCCGATGGGGACTTGTTGATCGCAGGACAGATAACGGGGACCGTTTGCTGCAACTGTGCACAGACCACAACCTGTTTCTGGCCAGCACTAACTTCCGGCACAGTCATCGCCGGTGTGCCACCTGGCGTCCTCCCTCTGCATCCCAAGCCTGGACTCAGATTGATCACATCGCGATCAGCTACCGCTGGCGTGGTTGTGTACAAGACTGCCGCTCCTTTTGGAGTACCTATCTGGAGTCTGATCATGCCCTGGTCTGCGTCAATCTCACCTTACTTTTCAGTGGCCGAAGGATTGACCACCACCAACGGATTGATATTAGTAAACTGGCTGCAACTCCTGTTGCAAGTAAGTACCGAGCGGAGCTAGCCTCTAGGCTAGCTAACACCCCACCGAAAAGTATAGATGAGCATTGGTTGCATCTTCACGACGCCATGAAAATGGCGAGTAAAGCCGCTTGCGGCTTCGCGAAACGTCCCGCTTACAAGCACTGGGTTTCTTCTGGCTCCTTACAACTGATGAAAGCCCGTCGGTCTACTCCGGGTGACCGTGAGTTTGACCACAAACGAAGGCTGTTACGTAATGAAATTGGGCAAAGCTTGCGTAAGGACCGGGAAGCCTGGTGGTCGGAGCGTGCTAATGAGATGGAAGCAGCAGCTGCATCTGGTAACTGCCGGAAGCTCTTCCAACTCATCCGAGCCACTGGCAGCAAGAAGTCTGGTGTGAGTGAAACAATCTACGAGGATGATGGGATGCCAATCACTAACATCTCCCGACGTCTTGGACGATGGGCGGAATTTTTCGAAGGGCAGTTCAACTGGCCTGCTGCTCCGGCAACATCAACCAGCTTGTCCTGCCCCCCATGGCCGGTGATGACTGATCCACCAAACGAGGCGGAAGTCCGCAAGGAACTCCAACTCTTGAAGCGCTACAAATCACCGGGCCCAGATGACTTACCTCCGGCTCTTTTTAAAGATGGTGGCGACTTTCTGACTAAGGAATTGACTGTGTTGTTTGGAAAGGTTTGGGAGCAAGAAAGTGTTCCAACATCATGGAATGAGTCAATAGTCGTCCCTATCTTTAAAAAGGGTTCGCGTTGTTCCTGCAATAACTATCGGGGGATAAGTCTACTTTCGATTGCGTCCAAACTATTGGCTTCTATCATTCTTCGTAGGTTGTTTAAAACCCGAGAACGATTGACTCGCGAGGAGCAGGCTGGTTTTCGTTCTGGTCGAGGATGCATTGATCACATCTTCACCCTCCGCCAAATGTTAGAACACCGTCATACTTATCGCAGGCCAACAATCGTAGTGTTTCTTGATATCAGGGCTGCCTTCGATTCGTTGGACAGGACTGTTCTCTGGGATTGTCTATTGAAGAAGGGTGTGCCTGAGAAGTTCATTAACATCTTAAAGGCCCTGTACACGAACACCTCAGGCAGAGTGAGGGCATACAACCACCTTTCTCCCTTGTTCCATTCGAGCAGTGGGGTTAGGCAGGGTTGCCCGATCTCACCATTCCTCTTCAACTTTGCCATCGACGACATCTTGGAAACAGCTCTGATGGATGTAAGTAATGGCGGTGTGGATATGTTGCCTGGAGAACGACTTCTCGACCTTGAGTATGCGGATGATATTGTCTTACTGTGCGATAACGCCCAAGGCATGCAATCAGCACTTAATCAGTTGGCAATCAGTGTCCGCAGGTACGGCATGTGCTTTGCACCCTCCAAGTGCAAAGTACTTCTACAAGACTGGCAGGATTCTAATCCTGTACTCACCCTGGATGGTGAGCAGATCGAAGTAGTTGAGAAGTTCGTGTATCTAGGTAGCTATATAAGTGCTGGTGGTGGCGTGAGTGATGAGGTTGATGCACGTATAAGGAAAGCCAGATCGGCTTATGCCAATCTGGGCCATCTTTGGCGCCTTCGTGATGTTAGTCTGGCTGTAAAAAGTCGGATTTACAACGCGTCGGTGAGAGCAGTTTTGCTCTATGCTTGTGAAACCTGGCCTCTCCGAGTTGAGGATGTTAGACGTCTCTCTGTGTTCTATCATCGTTGTCTCCGAAGGATTGCTGACATCCAGTGGCAACACCATGTTAGTAATGCAGAGGTTCGGCATCGTGTGTTCGGGCACAGAGACGATAATTCAATTGGTGTCACCATCTTGAAACACCGACTTCGGTGGCTTGGACATGTTTTACGAATGTCGTCCCAGAGACTTCCACGTCGTGCATTATTTGCCGACCCTGGGACTGGTTGGAAAAAGCGGAGAGGAGGTCAGTGTATGACATGGTGTCGTGGCATGAAAGAGAGCTGCAAAGGGCTAGCTTCTGTTGGTCCTTCACGACTCCTTGGTTGGGGTCCGAGAGATGGTGCAACACAGTGGCTAGAGACGTTATCAGATATGGCTCAGAATAGAAACCAGTGGCGATCCTGCTGCAACCTTCTTTTACTTTCTACATGAAGTATGTTTCTTACTTTCCTATTTGAAAGTGTCTTCTGGTTGTACATTTTAGTCCGCCTTATCTTTTCATCCCTTCTCTTCCTACTTTCATTATTTTGTGTGGCGCATATGTACCTGGTGCCCTTTTGTACCAATATATATGTGTTTAAATAAATAAATAAATAAATAATACATATAAAAACTAGATTATTACCGCTAAGCACTATTATATTGGTGTTAACTATAACCAAGACAAAAATATTACTGAGGCGAACCCATCACTTAAGGCACAAAATTTGAAATAATACACTTTTCCATGAAAATAACAAAGTACAGATGAATTACCAATATATGAAGTTAAGCTTCAGTAAAACTTAGTGACTAACTTGTAATTTGGTTAATTTACCACCATAAGCTTTAAAATAGGCGTAGTAAACTTTACTCATCGTATTGATATACTCCACCCTAACTTCTTTAGCTATCTCTCGATCATGAGCTAAGAGGAACGAATTGTAAAATCTGGATACAAAGAAAGAAAACACCAATGGAAATGTTGAAATATAACTTGAAAAATGAAACCAGTTATATGCATCAGGTAACAACATAACTCGAAATCTCCTCACTTCAAAAATAAGTTTTTCATGTTATTATCACCCCTAAACCCCACATTTCTCCAACTGGTATAATTTAACTTAGGTCAGTCGGATTGAAAACAATGGAATCTTGACGTAACATTTATGTACAAATAAAGTAATTAAATTACAAAAGCACAAGTATATACCAGTTCTAAATTGATTGTTTATAATGATTTCATTTTGAAATTGTATCGAAGCACACAGAACGGTAATAATGTGATCCGCAATAACACAATTTTTTTCAACAGATTCATGCCGCACCCAGAATGGTGAAACAACTAACACTTCGAAAATAATATTTCGTTCTAAGACAATTGTTCTAGCTATTAAATGGGACTGTTTGTAACGTTAGTCTATGGTAATATTCAATCTAAATAAAACGAATTATGCTTTTAAATTGCGTCGAACTGTGCAAGATGTTCTTGACCTCGTAAAACTCATCCTAAGGGAATACTAGTTGTTTTTCGGAGGGTTTAGTATAATAAGAAAGACGAAAAAAACTATTATATAACATGTAGAAATGTTGAATAACCAAGAGCTGTTTTTTGTACTCGGCTTTGAATCATATTCTTCGTGTGTGGACCAATTATTCTACTCAGCTGATTAAATTGAAGTGGGTGAAACATAGTTCAAACTTATGCTCAAATAATTAAGTTAAACCCCTTGTGTTACGCAGTAGACATCGTTTGGTATGGTTAATAAAATGAAACAGTTGACAAATAAACAACATAAGCAGCCTTAACCAACGTCAATGTCTAATTTTCGTCATCCGTATTGACTGACAATCCGAAATATAAGATGAACCAGTTTGCATATGCGTTTTTTGACATATATGTATACTCTTACAAAGTAATGTGCTGGCCGATTTGATAGAGACTGTCACTCGATCAGCATTATAAAGCATTCTGCTTTGATATTGGGTTTCATACGAAAAATCTATACTTACTCAACGGTCAAAGTAATGACAGAAGTACCAACGTCGTGATAATTTGGAGGATCAAAAGTAAACATGACGTTTGACGACACCATACGAGTCTGCAAAAAGTCCTTTCTCTTGTCGAACAGTCAATGAGCTATTTGATTTAACCATCAACATTTTATGCATGCTAGATGTAATTAACAATTATTATTTGTTAATAACTCGAGACTTACAACTAAAAACATATCACACCTGAAATACTCACCGAAATTTCAGCATTTGGTTTTGAGGAACTTGATAATTTGTAAGTGGCTTACGTAAGGAGTATATTTTACCCAACAGAAATTCGCGAATTTTTGTAACAGCCTAAAATTAAAGTGAAATAAAATAACATAATAACTGGTAGCAAAAGCAATCAAATTATAAAATATAAATGATTATTACACATGAAGATGAATAGACAGTTGTTATTTGAGTCAGATAGACTACGTAAACAAGGCCTATATCTCAGACGTCCAGCTGTCACTGATTGTCACAATGAACAAAAACTGATGTTTATTGAGTGAAAAAAACTTCAATATTTCAGAGAATCAGCAGTAATCTTAGATATAAGAAAAGACCTCAAATGGGTAAATCTTTAATATCACGTTGAACTACTGATTTTGTAAGTAAGTAGGCATATAAAATTCGCCTAAATCATACGGGAAATCACGATTAAATGAATTGTCGTAACATGTATACCCCCTTAGTGCTTTGGTTTCACTTAATTGGTCCAGCATAACTAAAGAATTAAAACTTTTATACAGGATAAGGGGTATCTAGATTAGTTATCTGGATAAAGTGATACAGACTGAGGACGGCCTGGAACTGGTGTTTTGTAGTTAAGAGATGATTAGCTTGGGTCTAGATAAATAATTAAATTGAAGCAGTTAAACAATGCATATACAATCAACAAATAAACCATACGCTTTTTCAAAGATATACTTACCTTAATTCTCAACTTTTTTAGAAGTACACTAACATCATTAAATGATTTGTAATCCATCATAGATTGCTCTAACGAGAAATTCATTTTATGATTTAATTCATGAAGGTTTTCAAGGAACTCTTGTTCAGTAACAGGAGTGTATATAATATGTCTAAAAGGATTAGTATTAAAAAGAAGTCCGTGAACTGTTGATTGTTCCAGATTAGATAACAACCAAATAAATAAAGTAGGAAAATAAATCAAAAAGCACTAAAATACCTCATAATCATGAAATTATCAGATCGTAGTCGGTTAACAAAAAGTTAAATTAAGGTAATAGGTATTAAATTAATACTGACGTACGGGATCAAACAAAAGACAATAAAAACTAATAAACTGAACTTAGTAAAAGCGTTGATGAGACTGTGGTGTGTGCTACTGATGTCGATAGACATAAGTAGTATGTATCATTGATCGAAAGTGAAATACCTAACAGTAGAAAGTTAAGAAGATCAAAGAAAAGAGAACGAAAACGGAGAATGATTGCTTTGGAAACAAAAGAACGATGAATTCTGAGGCGATTGACTGGTATTTCACAAATGAAGTATTTATTGTATGGTTCTCAGATTTTACTGAGAAATTCTGTAATTTTGTGTTCAAATACATTCGATTGTCCCCACTTGTGTTTTCGTTCACTATAGAACTTAAACTGTTCCAAAAACTTATCAAGCTGAGCATTCTTCATTTCAACTGCAATAAACAGGATTTTTATGATTATAACACTGGTGACTAAATAATCCCGTATGAGATGTAATGAAGACCTGATGGTTTTACATGTGTTACCTCTGAAGTTGGTGTGTTAGTGATTACTTGGCATATTTCCTTAGCCCAACAGTAACAGCAGTGAAAACAGTTGACGGTACCCAGTAGATAGAATATATATATATATATATATATATATATATATATATGATCTAATTTTTGAACCTGTAACAAACGTATGATCAGACCGATCGAGTGGTTAATTCAACACGTCTAGTACCAAACGGTTAAATGAAGCGATAACATTTGGGCTCATCTGGTTACTTACACCTTTAGTAATCAGTTTTTACTAATATCTTCATGATAGATGTCTGTCCAATTCAGTTTACTTTTTACCTGTCGTTTGCTTCAGTGAATATGGTTGTTGCATACAAATTATGGATTGAATGGACCTACTTATTATTGAACCCAGTTCTATACACAGGTAGATTTATCACAAAGCATAATAACAAACAAATAATGAAATCCCGATTGCAGATAGTACTTTTATATGGTGGTTAGGTTTGCGTATCATGATGGACCAACCCAGATATAACAGCTAAAACATTTGTTTCGTTTGGGTTTCACCATGCTAGGTACGTCAGTAGGAGAGCGACTGACTGAATTATATTGTTAACTGATTGATTTAATCGGAACTTTTGGATGTAATTCACAATGATCATTACAACACAGTATCGATAGAACTATAACTGTTCAGACTGAAGAAACTAACTGAAAGCAGCTGCTCGCTGAAACATTACTTGTTCTGAGTACTCTACATTATATATTAATTCACCATTAAGAACAGGTGGCAGCTTTCAAAGTGAGATACACAAGTTTTGCCAATGAGCCTTAAAAACAAGAAGAGAATTCTGATATAACTTCAGAATAAAACTATGAAAAATTATTAAGTCAACGTCATGGACAAAAGTACAAGGTAACTTTATAGACGGGGTCAAAATGCTTACCGTATAAGCTCTTCCGGAATGGCCGTATCTGAAAGAAACTGGCTTAAATTACTCCGAACAACCTACAGAGAAATAAATCAGTGAGAAAAGATCAACTTACTTATTGGCTGAGCAGAATATGACCAAAAATAAATTATAAGTCTGTAAGCTTTGAAAATATCATCTCTTTACATAGGCAAGTGACTCCAGAGTTATCGTCTACTTTAGTGTCCCTACTTGTTGAGGGTTTGGATGAACATAATACAGTAAGTGCAGGGGATGGACATGTTTGTATGTAACCATAGAAAACTTCACTTTAAATATAATAATTGTATTAATTAAAATGCATTACAAACAAACGAATTGAAACTAAACTGTACAATGGCCCCCAAATGCCCTGGTACGACCTAGTGGGGAGGGCCCACCCTCTCGAAATGCTCTCACACGGCCACGCATATACAGCCTCTGCCAGAGAAGTCCTACTCACTGCCTCCTCGTGGCAAGATTGTTTACGAAATTGAGAGGACGAAAAGCGAATGTCCGGCGCTTTAACCGGGTTGGTGGATACGGATGACCCACTTAAGGGGGTTGTAAAATCCTGATTCCAAACCAATGGTGCATATGGGCTCCAGTGCCCTGAGGGAAAAAATGGAGTATGAACAAACTGTTGGTCACCGGCTACCATGGGACTGCATCTCCTCACGATGCTCCACTGCCTTGTGGGTCAGACCTTCAGGCCAAAGGCTAGGAGTGTGACCCTCTTCGGAAACCACCTGCTTTGGTCTCGGCACCCGGGTAGTATCATTGCCCTCACAGAATTAAAATGAAATGACAATTTTTTGTGTGGCGCATACATACCTGGTGCCCCTTCGTACCAATATTTATGTTTTCAAACAAAATAAAATAAAAATGTTCAAAGTGTCAATAGTATCTTAACATGGATTATAGGTTGTATACGTGATACGATTCATCCAGTTTGACTAGACAACTAGATAACTGATCGTATATTTGTGCATTTAATTCGCCTTTTTGAATACTGATTGACAAAGATTCATTAAAGTTGATAATGGAAAGTCTTATTGCTTGTCTAAAGCTTCAGATGTTATTGACAAGGATTTTAAAATATGATTTGTATATAGAACAATATATTTACGAATAATTCTATCTATAAAGTAAGAACCGATTAACTTGGAACTATAAACTTTCCCTAAATGGATTCTTTTTCTATAAAGCTACAAAAAAACTTGGGAAAAGAATATAATGTGTGATAATTTAACTTATTTTAGTATTACTCTGCCATCAGTTAGTTAAATCCGCCTATTTGTATTAAAGTATTTTTTAAGGTGAATCAACTGAATCCCCATAGGCTTATTATGTAGACGTACTCTATAGATCTAGACACCTGAAGAAAAACTTACATCAAGATCTACACAAGATAGGAAGAAAGAAATTCCCAGACAATAGCCTTACTTAGCAGCCTAGATATTAACCAACGGGATAAACACGATTCAATACAGTCGAGGCCTATAAACCTTGATAAGTGAAGTGAGGTCCAGGTCCGCATTATATATATATATATATATATATATATATATATATATATATATATATAACGATATAGACTATATCCAAGACGTTAGGTATATTTGAGTATCTAATGCCTATCATTTATCATATTCCGTGGTCAGCAAAAACACTGCATGTATTAAATCATCTTTTTTACCATTAGAATTAACTGCAACATATACAACAGGAATAAAAATAATAATTTTAGTGAACAGGAAATTAAGTCATTACTGTGCAACAACCTACCTGTCTGTTTTGCAAACGAGTGTTCATTTGTAGAGATTTGCTTTGCAGATCCTGGATTTCTGTGCTAATTGCACCCAAATCTTCATGAAAATCAGTCAGTATGTTTTCTATCCGCTTGATTATGATGGAAATATACTTTAGAAATAAGAAACAAACCTCTAGGATGGCATCACATGAGATAATTTGGTTATGTAAACTAGCTACTTCAGGACTGACCGTTATATCTAAGTATACCCAATAAATGTATAAAACATACATGTCTTTATAAGTGATTCTTCAATTTTCGTTAACTCTGATTCAACTTGAGCAGCATAATCACGCACATCAATTCCCTACATCGTTGAGTAAGAAAACAAATTAACGTACTGATTTTAGAGCTATTTCTTCTATTTCTGCTTTCAGTGACTCTGAAATGACTAAGATTATATTACAAAGTAACAATACTCACACCATCAGCATTCATTTTCTATACCACCACTAATACTTAACAGATAATGTGAAAAAATTAACGTGTTTTTAATTAAATAGCATTATGGATGTCACCGATTCACCGTCCTGAACTCTAAAAGTAAATTTTGCAAGTGTAAAAATATAGATATGACGTGTGTATTGAATGGAGACAGTTTGGATGTCCAAAAAATTAGTATTCGGTTTTAAACCCTATAGGATTATTATACACTAAGGAAATAGACTTCAAAATAAAGTAATGGTACATTAAAAGACCGCTTGATAATGCCTCTTCACTCTTTAGCATAACGTGCCCAGAGACAGTCTAGAGGTCATATTTATTGTATTCGTTTGTGTATTGATAGCTACCGTTTTACGTTAACGTCAAATAATTATTTAACACAATTCTTAGGGCAACTCGAAGAAACAAAAATGAGGAAATGAAGGAATATGATTGACATTCTTTAAGGAAATTTGGTGTGAATAAAGGGCGTCTTGGATCAAACTGTTTTCTTGCCCCCCAGCCTGGGATAAAAAGTGAGATGTCTTAAATCTCCCTATTGAGAAAAAATTTCTCGAATTTAACTCCCCGGCCTTAACTTAAGCTAGCATTAAATAGTCTACTTTTCACCTCCAATCACACCAAAAGTTCTAATTTCCCTACGAATCTCACATCAAGTTATGTTTTGAACGTTACTGTCAGTAAATTTATCAGTTGCATCCGAACAACAGACATTTACCTTACTAATAAAAGAGGTTTGGAATGCCCTGAGGATAAATTCCAGTGTCACCGTTTTCAAAAACTAGTAATCAGCCGTGTCGACGCAATCCCTAACATATGTAAGTAGCGCAATCGTTGATGGCTTGTAGGATATTTGATTGTTTTAACCAGTTAGAGTTCAATGATATATGTAGCAGTTCAAATGGTTCAAAAGGTTGTGGACGGAATAGAAGAAGCTTTCGCGGTGAGACTATAATTTATGGACGACCTTTGAGCAACGCTAAAATAACCTTGAATATGTCATCTACTTACTAAGGTTAAATGAGAGTTATAAATTAGTGAGAGGAACTAGGGTTAGGAATTATAATTAAACGTTTGTGTTAGAAACTATATTTAATGTTTTCATCACGAACTGACATCAGCTATAATGCCAAAATGGTATTTAACCAAATGAGTGGATTAATCTCTCGCCAAGACCTGCTATTTAAAATCTGATTGGTTCGTCCATAAATTATAGTCTCGCCGCTTTCGCTTAACGGGCCTCCATGTCTAGTAACAGCGGATCAGCAATACCTCCAAGCAAGAACCTAGGTATATTAACGATAAAGGAGGAAAAAGAATTTGGTAAATCATAGAAAGATGTTATTCTTATTCCTTAAGAATAGGTCAAGTTGCCTCTTAAATGACTCCGGCGAAGTCACTTGGACTAGCTCCGCCAATAGCGAATTCCAGTATTTGACAACTCTTAAAGAGTCGAAGTTGTGTCTACAGTCCGTCCTACTGTGTTGTGTTTCTAGTTTCTGGGTGTTACCCCTTAGATTTGTGTCGGAGCTAAACTTAGGTCGGTGCTTAAGGGGATGAACAGAAGTGTAAAGGACACTAAGCCATTTGAAAGTCACCATAAGGACCCCGTACTCTAATGGATAAAGGTTCGGTGATTGGAGGATCGCATAATAAGGCTTGTATTTGAGACCCCTAACTGATTTCGTGGCTCACCGTTGGATACGTTCCAGGGTCCTTATCCTTTAGGAGTTGGAAGGGAAATACTACGTCTCCGTATTCGAAATGGGGACGAATAAGACTGTTGAAGATTACGTGTGAAGTCCTACCGTCAAACCAGCAAAAAATGAACTTCGACGTTATCAGTGCAAGGTTTACTCGAAAGGCATTTTTGTCACAGTTAGTGTAAGACTTCAAATAGTAGGGTACCAACACTTCAAAATCTTTTTCAACTTGAGATACTTCTAGAGATTAATTTTCTAAGTTGTAACTGTAGTCTGCAATATGTCTCAGATGGACTATTTTACACTTTGGAGTAATTAAGGTAAGTCTGTTGTCATCTACCCAACTTTAAAGTCGAGTCAGATCCTCCTGAAGTGCCAGTATATGCTCTCGGTTACGTATCTCTCACCAAAGTTTCACACCATTAGTAAAAAGTAATAAGTCGGACGATACGTTTCATGGAAGATCGTATATATAAACCAAGAAAACAAGAGATCCTGGCATTGAACCGTGGGGGACCCCATCAGGACGTTCCATAGCCTGAGCGAAAGTGTAGTTAACCCTGACCTTAGAATGTCGATTTTTTAGATATGAAGTGAGCGAGCCAATTAGAGGTAGTTTGATGCCCAATCGTTTGGGCTTATTGATAAGATATATATGGTTGACCCTATCAAAAGCTCTTGAGAAATCAAGGTAAATGATGTCAACCTTCCCCTTGCGATCAAGGATGGTTGTTCATCTATCCCCCGCAGTCAGCAGATCGGTTATACAAGAATGACCCTTCCTGAAGCCATGCTGTTGATGTGAAAAGAAGTTTAAGATTAATAAGTAATCGTGTATGCCGTCACATATAAGGGACTCCATAATTTTGAAGGTACAGAGAGAAGGGCTACCGATTAGTAGCTTGAAGTTTCGCTGCTCTGACCTCCCTTGAAAGTTAATGTGGTGCGAGCAAGTTTCCAAATTTCCGGTAGTTTGCCTCGGCTTAGCGAGTGCGAGAACACCACACTAAGCGGTGCTGCCAGGATTGAAGCTGCTTCTCTCAGTATAGCAGAATGAACCATATCCGGGCCAGGGGAAAGTGCTTTTCCTTAGGCTGTGCAGTTTCCTGTACACCAAGTCGGCCCTTAGGTCCACTTCAGAAAGTCCTGGGCAGTTGCGGCTTTCGTCATCATAATTAATGTGGGTCAGTTGAAAGGTCCGAGAGTATTGTTCAGCCAAAAAGGTTAGCGGCGTCATCGTTGTTATTGCTCGGTCCAGTAGGACCTAACAGTTTGGGAACTCCAGTTTTGGTTCGTCGAAGAGAGGGTACATAACGGAATAAACTTTCGGATTCGAGACAAATTTATCGATAAGCTTATTCTGGTACTGAAGCTTGTCTTCTCCTATTGCCTTTGTGCATATATTCCTGATATGATTACATTGCCTGTACGCGCCGTTGTTGCCAGTTCGTTTTTATTCTGGCCAACAGTGCCTTTTGAGGCTTAGCAAACGAAGAGTGCGGTTATTGATGACCGCAGGTTGCTTGTAGAAATCCCAGTAAACATCAACTTCAAGTTGAGAGTGAATATCCCAATCCACCTGTTGTAGATAGTCCTATAAAACTAACACATTCAACCGTTTGAAATTCCAGCGCCTGTTGTTGGTGAAGTGTCTTAGCTCAGTTTTGCTTATAAAACTGAAGACTATGATGGCGTGATCGCTTCCCTTCAAGGAAGCCAGAATTGAGAGGTCATCGGCTAGAAATTCTTCATTTGTCGATACCCAGTCCAAGCGTGACGACATCTGACTGTCCCTGCAACGTGTTGCCGACTTCACATTTTCTAATAATCCAAGATCTTCAATGAGGTTGAAGAACTGAACTTCAGTTGATTTTTCACCCCCAATGTATGTATGTTACGCGAAACTGACTTTAGGAAGACTGATGTCCCCTAGAATCAGGATATGAGTGAATCCGAGACGAGTAGAGAGGGAAAATCCTTCCGGCATACAACTGTCGTACTCCATGTCAGTAATGGGCTTCCTGTAGATGACCCCGACTAGACATCCGGAGGTGGTAGACATTCTTACTGAGCACCATACGGATTCATCAAAATTGATAAACTCTTGGTTGAGCACTTGATGTGCCTCCAGGCATGATCATAAGTATAAAGCTACTCCACCCCCAACTTCTGTTTTTCTGTCATTGCTTAACAAAGATATCCCGGGTATTGCTAGCTCTTAGTCCGTAAACTGAGATATCCAAGTTTCAGATATTCCTACCATATGAGCATTATTAGCATTACTCAGTTCACGTAGCTCATCCATTTATTTGTTAAATTCGTGGCGTTCATGTGTAAGCAGTTTATGCTTTTCATTCCGAACGCGTGAGCTTCCCCGTTCTGTTTATCTGCATGAGCCTTAGGTGAATGAACAGGTAGCCCACCTATACAATGTTTTTCGAGTTGGTAGCCCCGGTCCTTTTGTGATCAAAACAGTCCACGAGTGGAATGGACAGCTTCAACTTGTCTGTGTGCTTGATCCTAGCGCTATGTGTCCTATCCGGATGCACGTAGGTTCCAATTAGCAAATGGCGTCTGTTGGCAAGAAATGCTTCCAGAGTTGAAGCCACCATATGGGAGGATGGGAAAGTTATCTTCACTAGTCGGGGGCTAGAATCTCCGGCGAGACTAAAGAACATGGACGACCTTTGAACGAATATTAAATGACCTTGAGAAATATTGGCCAATCAGAAGACAGTTAGCATACAATAAAAATATATTATACAAAACTCAAAAATTAAAAGGGATACTGTTCTTTCACATGAATCAAAAACTTATCAAGGTCAGATATAGGTTCAGAAGTTCTAAAATCATAGTGCATCCGGCACAGGAACTCATCCCTGTGGCTCCATAGTAATCGACCACTGGAACCATGATAAAGTCCCAAAAATTCTTTCAGCCTCGACCACATAGTTTCAGTGTTGTCGGTATGTTGGTATGGTTTAGGGTTTAGGATTAGGGTTAAGGTTTAGGGTTACGGTTTAGGGTTAAAGATGAGGCTATAAATTATGGACGACATTTGAGCGACGCTAGAGTGAATCTGAGAGTGTCAACGTAATAACTAAGACTAAATGAGGGTTATAAACCCATGTGAAGAATTCAAATTATGATTTACAGTTCATGGTTAAGGCTATGAATTTTACTTAGGGTTTTCATCACGAACTGACATCAGCTATAATGCCACAACTCAATTCAAATATATAATTGAATTTTGCGCCAAAATCTTATGATAACTTATCTTGTAGACGCTTAATTATCATGTTTTCTCTAAAATCCTTTGTAAACCGACCGTACGTAAGCGTCAGGTACCGAACTTAGCGCCGTGGCCTTGAAAACCCGCGAAAGCTTCTGATTGGTTAGTCCATGTTCTTTAGTCTCGCCGAATCTCCGTCCTTTCTGGCTAGTCTCGTCACATGGTTAGTCAGTATGTTTTTAAGCTTCATGGATTGTTTGATGAGTTTCCATTCCCTAATATCGGAGTCTGTGTGACCAGGGTCCGTGTTTTCCGGCACACCTTGCATAACGACATTTCCTCCGCGGATAAACTTCTTGCGAGATTTCTAAGGGATGTCCCTCATGAGAGTGCACTCAGAACACGGTATGTCAGGCAGTATTATTACTCTCCCATCAGATTTCGTTAGGTAACTAGCTAATAGCATATCCTCTACGTCGCTAGCATTAATGACTGTTACACGAAGTACCCTCGGGTGATTTTGATGCTCAGAGTCCTTTCCTCGAGTTAGTGGTGTGACCATCAAAGGCTCTATTCTGGCAAGTTCTAGCTTCCTGTTTAACTCTCCCCACAGTATCCTGTCGTTTTTGTCCTCCAAACTGAAGGGAAGACCAGAGCTGTTTATAAGGTTCATGATTATTAGAGAATCCTCACGAACCGTTATTGTTTTCCCAGGTCTTCCGGTGCGTTCAGGTTGAGGATCTTGTTGTTTGGAGGTCGAAGCGCATTTCTGATTCGTAGGCTATTTGGTGACCGAACGAACATTCTTGGAATTAGATTGTGCCGTCAAATCACCAGTCGATTTTCGTACAATACTTGGGACATTCAGCTTCTTAGACGCTGACG